TCAAGGAGCTGAGGAAGCTGTGGGTGAGGAACAACCAGTTGGTTGGTCTACCTACCAGTGTACAGAGGCTGACCAAGCTTGAAGAGCTGGACTTGAGAGGAAATAAACTAATTGAACTACCGGCTAAGATTGGTGACCTCAGGGAGCTGAGGGAGCTGAGAGTGAGATACAACCAGTTGGTTGGTTTACCTACCAGTATACAGAGGCTGACCAAGCTTGAAAGGCTGTACATGAGTGGAAATAAACAAACTAAACTACCTGATGAGATTGGTGACCTCAGGGAGCTGAGGGAGCTGAGGGTGAGTAACAACCAGTTGGTTGGTTTAGCTACCAGTATACAGAGGCTGACCAAGCTTGAAAGGTTGTACTTGGATGGAAATAAACTAACTGAACTACCTGCTGAGATTGTTGACCTCAGGGAGCTGAGTGGGCTGAGTGTGTGTAACAACCAGTTGGCTGGTTTACCTACCAGTATACAGAGGATGACCGAGCTTCAATTGCTGTACTTGGATGGAAATAAACTAACTAAACTACCTGCTGAGATTGTTGACCTCAAGGAGCTGAGGGTTTTGAGAGTGAGTTACAACCAGTTGGTTGGCTTACCTACCAGTATACTGAGGATGACCGAGCTTCAGTTGCTGCTCTTGGATGGAAATAAACTAACTGAACTACCTGCTGAGATTAGTGATCTCAAGGAGCTGAGGGTGCTGAGTGTGAGAGACAACCAGTTGGTTGCTTTACCTACCAGTATACAGAGGCTGACCAACCTTGAAGAGCTGTACCTGCATGAAAATAAACTAACTGAACTACCTGCTGAGATTGGTGACCTCAAGGAGCTGAGGGTGCTGAGTGTAGGTCATAATCCTTTAACTGTTGACGCAATAAGACGTGCCTTGAAGTTAGGGAAGAAAGGAGTACATGTATATGGTGTTGCAGGTAAGCACAGCGGATATTGTAGTTATTTGGAAGTTCGAAAAAAACCGAGATAAAATTCCACTATTTGCCTGGGAAAGGGAAGTCATTTTTTTTTTAGTTATCGGGGGTTTCGCGAATTTGAGGGTTTGATAAATCATTAAGATATGCTACAAACTGTACTTTTAAAATCAATGGTAAGTTTCTTGTACGTATTAATTAGCGATTAATGAATGAGGCTGAATAGGATATGAAGAATTAAGCAGATCGAGGAGGGTGTTATCCACCGAGGCCGAAGGCCGAGGTTAATAACACCTCCGAGATCTGCTTAATTCTTCATATCCTACGAAAGCCGAATTCATTAATTGTTTTATTATTCATTCAAAACATTTCCTAGTTTAAAAACATAGCTAAAACATGCTTACCTGCATCGATGTTAAGTTCATCTTCGATAGTGCACGTTTAGGTTTGTCCAGCTGCGCAAATATTCTCCAAATAGCGGATGTCGCCTTCCGAGATTTCTTTTTGCTGTTTTTGCCATGTTTTTAGTTATTATTTTGCCTAGTTCCAGCTGTAGTTCTTACTCTTGAAACGAGTGAAATGTCTGCCACTTTTTTTTCACAACCAAAACAACTCAACCTCGACCCAGGTCTTCTCGGTAACGGTGCCTTAACCTGTAGAGGGCTGCATTTTTGACGTCATTTCCTCGTTAAACACAAAATTCTTCCAAATCTAGTTATTAGTAACTGGTTATGGTGAATTATGCGTGTGCTTTTAGCCAATCAGAATTGGGGAAATATTTTGAATGAATAATAACTGAAGTTAATGAACACCAAAAATTGTATTCCATCACACCCTTACTAAATGACTCACAGGTTGTGTTTTCACGAACTTTCGGAGGGAGAGAAGCGACGACCGGAATACGTCTGCTGCTCGCAGGCTAAAGAAATACGAGCTCCCTTAAAAACGCCTGCGGGAGTTGCCTGCAAACAGCATACGTATTTCCGGTCGTCCCTTCTTTATTTTTCGGAGGCAGAGAAGCGACGACCGGAAATACGTCTGCTGTTCGCAGGCTAGTATTTCTTCGGGGAGGGAAGAAATACGAGCTCCCTTAGAAACGCCTGCGGGGGAGGCTCTGTTTTCACTGTAGTCGATTTGTTGCTGAGCGGAACATTTTTTCTAGGTGTTTGTTGACATACCGACGATTACTAGCTGTTTTCACTTTTAAATTTAGCTCGGAAGAACTCAGAGGATTCAAATTTAAAAAGCGCGCCACGTTAAAAAATGTTGGGAGACGAAGCGCTTTGAATGTGTTTTCGTTTAATGATTCTCGCTATTTTATGAATGCAGTTGAATAGTGTCTCTAAAGAGTAAGAGGGTAGGAAGTAATGTAATCCTGTTTCAAAATGTAACAGCAAAACAGCATTTATTGCCGTAAGTGGCGTGGGTTTAACCCGCCGTGCCAAATCGATGAAACTCGTTAATCGAAATTATGGATTCTATTCGATTTTAAACGATAGTAATTAAGCGATTGATATCGGTAATCGATAAATATTGAAGATCGAAAGAGTTGTGAGTATCAATTTGTATCAATTTTCATCCATTTTATCGATTGTCAGTTGTAATCCTTTCATAATGATTTCAGACACGTTTGCGCTACTACTGGCTACGAATTAGTAATTAAAAGTCTTACCTATTAATTGTCGATTTATTCACCGAGGACAAAATATTTACCCGTCTTTATTGTAAAATGGACACTGGTGGTAGCCCTTCACTACAGCCTCTAGTAAAATGTTCATTTCGCCGGTCATTTGGCAGGCGTCTATCACAACGCGCAACGCGATTGGCTGCGGTATTTATCAGGATAAGTTATACCATCTCGCGAGGTTGTCTAACTTTGCGTAATTTTTCGGTCATAAAGCCGAAAAAACAGTGAGCATGTTTAACACGCTAACACAAGACGAGGTGTTTTAACTGTGTGTCTGGACTTTTCTGGCTTAATCTAGATAAAATTAACTCAGTGAAAACACAATTGTAGAGTCTTAAAGCCATTTTTCACTTAATGGATGATGTAATATTATCATGTTATAATTATGGAAGTTTAGCCGCTGAACACAATATGTATTAAATAGAAAATATTATTGTTACAGAACGATAAACAGACCATTAAGGATGAAGAGTTTTCAGCTGTTCATTAAGCTCGCTGTTCAAGTTTCAAATTAGAAAAGGTGGCTTGGTTTGCTGTGTTTAAGCCTGAGGAAGCACTTCTCGTGATTTAAACTATAACTAGTCTGAAATTTGTTATACCATTTAACATAGTTATAAGTCACACCTAGCTTCACTTAGGTTTGTTTTGCAAGTTAGGTTTCGTTGTTTTCCCTGTCAGCATGCACGGCAAAAGTGTAAGTGAATTGCCTAACTGCCCCCTCCCCCACATGGACGGCCAGGTGTCTTGCCTTTCATCTGAAACCTGCCCTGCACGTAGCCTTTAGGATCACTAAGGCAACCAAACCTTCCAACCACTTCAAAAGCATAATGCTTAGAGAGGAGGAAACAAACTACAGAATAATTTAAACAAAAGACAATGCCATTAACTTATTTAGCGTAATGACTCGATGTTATTGTTACTAAGCTCAGCATAAAGAGTCGGAACAGCATCAGGTTTTGCCAGGGACCGAGCATTCCAAACCATGCACTTCGATCCTATGTTTGGTGCTGTAGGCCCTTTGTTGATTTTAACAATCGAGAGCGTTCGCGGCCGTTCACTCTGGTTGCGTGAATTAGGGTCAACCTTGTCACGATAGGATGGAACAATAGTCGGTAATTGAATAGCGGCGCTTGGAATGCCAGGGTGGGGGGTACTTCCTAGTAGCAGGCTAATGGGTATGTGCTGCTGGATTGGGCCGCATTTTCACGACTGGATTGACTATTATGGGGTTACATTTTTACAAGAGTTACTGGAACAAGGTTGCACATTTTCAGGATTTTTGGGGTCAGAAAATTCAGTTATGTAGGGATTTAAAAATAGAAAGATTTACACCACACCAAGTTTAACAAAAATGTGGCAGATCATTTTAGGATGTTCTTTTTTCCAAAAGTGACTAAGATGGGGTCTATAATATCGCCACAGTATAGACTATAATGGGTTCGGGGTTTTGAGAGGCCAGTGGCACATACCTAACAAAAATTAACCCAAGTAACACCGCCCCGCCCCCCTTCCGGGTTGGAACGAGGGTGCTTATGCAATAGGGGAGCTTATTAGAGAGTGGTCGCTTATTGGAACGAAGTTAGTTCGTTGATGTTCAGAATAATTATTTCTTTTAGAGGGACAGGTATTTCACATGAATGCAAATAACACTTATAATTCTGGTGATGCAAAACACAACACTAATTTTTGCGCACCATTTATGGTATTTTGAACATGCATGGAGACTTGAAGTAAGCGCAGCAAAAAAACAAGCTTAAAATAGCAGGTGGATTGTTTAACAGTATCAGAAAAAACAAAATTTAATTATATCTGTCACATTCGAAATTCAGTAAAATTATGTTTACCTTAGATTTGTTTTAATAACTTAAAAGACCATACTGAAATATCACAATAAGGACAATTAACACTGATGTAGGACTAATTCTCTGATGGAAATTAATCCCCCCTCCCCCCGTGACCTCCTAGGTCAGTCAAGTGAGCTAGAAGCCAATGAACTACGCAACCTCTAAGACATTACTTACCTTCAATAAGCGTTCGGTTTCTTTGTTTTTTTTTCTTTTCACTAGCTCCTTTAGAAATAGAAGCACGTGGGGAAAAAGCACAGCTCGCTTATCAAAGTGCTCTGAAAGATGGAGCTGTTAATGTTTACCGTGGTCGAGTATTGCTTATTGGGCAGGATCGGGCAGGAAAAACAAGTTTGAAGAAGTCTCTCATTGGTCTACCGTTTAATCGAAAAGAAAAAAGTACCGATGGAATTGAAGTGGATCCTTCAAAATTTCAGTTGGACGTTGGTGAAGTCAGGAATTGGCAACCTGTTGATGAGAGAAAACAAGGATTGCTGGGATGTTCGAAAGATGTGGCACAGGTGGTGGCGGAAAGGATGTATACTGATATTCCAGTTAGCCATGACTGGGTTTGGGAGAAGTTAAGAGGTGAAGCAATACTTCAAAATGATGATAACAAGAGTAGGAAACATGTTGGTACTGATGGAGAAAAGGAGGAAGTTTCTCTTGTGAACAAGGTTTGTCTTTGTTGGTTTTGAAATGTGATGTTTTTTTTTTCGTGAATCCATCGTTTACTTACTGCAAGAGCGTCGTAGCAGTAGTTATTATAAATTGATTATCGCTTTCTTCGTAAGGTAGGTTATAATGACTTCCCGCCCTTTGCTATAGTCCCCGTATGGCAAATACGTAACAACTGCCAGATCGTGTTCTAGCTCGTTTTCCACTAGTGGTTAAAAAATTTAACCAGCGTTTTTACACTTATAAGTTTAGTTCCGAGTGTAGAATGATACTACTATTAACGATTTACTTTTATTTCCATGATTGTACCTATCTACACGTAAGCTTAGCCTTTGGGTCGATCAGTAGTACGTGTGCAAACCAAAGTGAGTTTAGCCATATCTTTATTTATACTTTTAATTGTTAATTAGGCCTTGAGCATAGCTTTGCTTTCCCTTATTTTGTTGCTGTTGTATCACAATTTCGTTATATTGTTTTCTTTTTTTATGCGAGGAGCAAAGCCAAGGGCTGGGGGGACTCAATCAAACACGATGTTTCTCTACATTCTTAAACTCACTGTTCCTTAAAAAATGCAAGGGCATATTAATGTTTGAGCTTATTAAGAATTTTCTGTCATCGAAAACAACTTTAAATGGCTGAATAATCGAATCGGAGGATGAAGAGGAATAATTAGGTGTTCATTATTCCATTATTCCAGCTCGAAAATTTTCCTTATTCCATTATTTCACTAAAAAAAGAACAACTTATTCCGTTGAAAACATCTGCTTATTCCATTATTCCGCACCACAAATTGGCATTATTCCATTCTTACAACAACAAAAATTCCGTTATTCTTACTCCATTATTCCTCTTCACCCCCAAAAGTCGAACCAACCATGTTAAGTCTTTCATAATCAGAATCAACAGCTATTTTCTGTTTCTCTTTTTCATACTCTGCTTCAGGTTTGTGATCCAAACGAAGACAGTGTTAGTGAGTCCACGTTAATAGGATCTGATCATGAATTACTTGTTGATAGTACTTCACCTCCAGAGGAGATCAAGGAACGAGCAGTTCAGTTGATAGAGGAAATACAAGATGAAGATTTTAAGGCTGAGGAATCTGTTGTCAGTGTTGAACTGTGGGATTTTGCTGGACAACACCTGTCTTATGCATCTCATCCTGTATTTTTAACATCACGTGCGCTATATATCCTGGTGTGCAACCTCAGCAAGTCATTGCATGACAAAGCCAAGCCCTGTGTGAGGCAAGGGTCTCGTAATATTCATTTGGAAAACCCAAATGGAGAAACAAATCTTGAGAATTTGTTGTCTTGGCTATCCACAGTGCATAGCGTTGCACAGATGAGAAGAGAAACCTGTGATGATTTAGAAAAAGAGGTACCTCATTTGCGCCCCCCAGTGATCATTGTAGGAACCCATGCAGACAAACCATTTGAAGACATTGCAACAATGAAAACAGAAATCCAGAACGCAATTGCTGGTAAGGACTATGAAGGACATGTGGTGCGGCCTATCTTCAGCATTGACAACACTGCAAAATTAACTCAAAGAAAAATCCAGAAAAAGGTGTTCGGGAAAGATGAAAACATTGATGACATCCGAGCTCTGCAAGTAAAAATCATGGAAGCGCTGAGACAGGAGCCTTACATTGGGGAGAGGATACCTATGAGGTAAATCATGGTGATACAAGAACAGAATCCATTAAATTAAATATTAAAAATAGTTTCCATGTCAAGGGTTGGACTATGAACGCAATGAAATTGCGGTTTATGGGTATGGCGTTTGTTTCCGCCTGTCCTTGTAAGATTTTTTCTTTGATATGTGATGTATTTCAGGTGTCATCAGTAACTCATTGACTGTGACCCTACATAAAAGGGTGGCCACAAAATAGGCTGCTTACAGCGAGAAGAGAAAAAATTCAGTGATTCCTGTATGAGCCACCTGGCGGTCATAAGAAATGAGATTATCTCGTTGATTGAAACAAATTAACCATGAAAAGCAGTTTTGACTGGCCTTAAAGAATATTCTACCCTGAAGGGTTTGATAATCTTATTTCGAATTGGCCGAAAAGCACTGTGTACATTGCATTGTTTTAAAAAGGTAAAAGTGAAGTGGATCACACACCCGTTAAATCTGTAGTAAACTGTATAACTGCACAGGGAAACCATTTCAAACATGACCAACTGTATTACAGTCAAACCAGGTCAAGCGTTCCCGTCGCTAACAAATTAATGAATTCATTAATGGCAAAATGATTTCGTTTGTTGACTCAATAATCCATTCATAAAATGAATAATCCAACAGTCAAATTGTACCTCGATTCAATAATCAAATGTTGATTTGGTTTATGAACAAAATCTACCTGTTCTTTATTCTTGTCTGTTGTGTTCAATCGTATTTGCTTCCCTTTTCCTGCCGTTTACGATTGCGTTTTTCATTGCCTTTAATCAAAATAACAGCTAGAATAGACAGACCGCAAACGCAAAGAAACTGACAAAGGCCGAGGATCGAAATCCACCAATCACCGCACATACACTGACCTCAGTTTGACCGTCGTGTTTTCTAAGAGGTCAGGCCTAGGTCTGTTGCACTGATTACTGGCAGCAAACTGGCGTACATGTAACAGTTTGTTTGGGTTTGAACTTCAGAACTCGCCAGCACTCGACTCTCAGAAAAAAAAAGAGGAAAAAACAAAATTCTGAGGTCAACTTGTGGAAAGTGTAATTTTTCAAAAAACAGTAATCGAATCAACATTCGATTATGGAATCGAGGCTAAATATGACTATTGGATTGTTCATTTTATGAATGGATTATTGAATCAACAAACGAAATCATTCTTCCGTGAATGAATTCATTAGTTCGTTAGCGACGGGAACGCTTGACCTGGTTTGACTGTAGTCAAGCTCATATGATCTTATATTTATCTCATTTTAACTTTAAAAGACCATCAATAGGCCACTTGCTCTATGACATCATTTTACTACTACGACCAGAATCCTTCAGGGTTTTGCTTTCTTGTCTAAATTAAGGCTTTTGTTATTTAAACCTCACTGGATTTACAAAATTTAAATATGAAAGGAAAAACGAAAAGGATTCTGGTCGTAGTAGTAAAATGACGCCATCATGCAAATGACCTAATACTAATCAAAATTCTTCACGGCTTTTCACATGTTAGCAGTCATGTTTTGGAACGTGTGCATGCTTCTGTCCCCGGTTGTTCAAATAATGAATCAATATTACAGAGGAAAAATATTAGGAAACCTAATGGCACTATCTGCTGGATTTTGGACAGATATTTATCCATTGGATGGAGATATCCGCCTTTCGCACAACGAGGCCCTGTACTTTACTCGGTACGGGTATGCTGTGACGTGGTTACTTTAATGTGCGCTATCAATTTTCTCTTTGCTTTTATTAACTAGATGGTTACACTTTGATACGGTCAGCAACGCTTTACTTTCCAAGCCCAAGCCAGATTATTACCTGAGTATAACGGAACTACGGACCCTTGCCAAGGAGAAGTGCTTCATCCATAATGAGAAAGAGTTTACCACCATGGTGAATTTCTATCATGACCTGGGGATAATTATCAAGCACCGTAGCACAGTCATCTTGAGTACCCTGTGGCTGATAAAATTGTTCGGACAGCTGATCACTATTCCAGATTTTACGAAAATGGTAAGAAATGGATTTTAAACGTGTTTTAAAACTTGCAAGGTTTATAATGGTCCACAGTTTGGATGACATCACAGGTTTCCAACCCGGTGCTGTAGCTAATAAAAATAATTATATCAAGTGTATTGCCCGCTATCTTTTTGAAAATGTTAACTGTTCCTCAAATATTTGTAAACAGCAAAATCGTAGTGGATTGTGCTGCTATTTAATATTTCCCCAGTGTAAAACAGTTAGGGTAGGCGACGTAATTCTGAAATGAAATCTTACCCGACCAAACCTATAACAACTGAATTGGTACTAACGCCTGGTCGGCAGTCGTCCCTGTAATCAACCCGCTATACTGACGTCACTAAGAGTAAACATTACAATGAAACATTTTCACTGCACTTTCTTATTTGAACGTTGTAATATCCCAAGAGGATTCTTGTTTTAATTTCGAAGGACATCAGGTGGCATCACGAGGTACCCGCTAACAATAAGAGGAGCTTATAACCAATAACCTGTACTTTACCTTTTATGTAGGCTCAAAGGAATCGGACAACCAAACAGAGTGAAAATACATATTGTATATAGAAAGGAAGCCTGACTTTTCACCGCCCAAACTGATGCACGCGAGGAGCGAATTGCGAAAAATTTATAACACTACTCAACCTACACAAAAAAAAAACGAAAAAATTTAGCTTGTACCAAGCAATATTGTCTCCTACGCTGATTTCCTCAGGGATAGTGGAGCGAGCGAATTACGCGAGCGCGCGTGAAATTTGTCATCCTCGAGGAAGGTGACAAACGCTCCTGTATTTTAATCGCTCAAATATCCCAGGGGAAAATAAGGGGCTACTCGTAGTCTATCCTCAGTAGTATATTAGGCATAGAATCAGCCTTTTTTGCGGTGGAATCTTCGCCGGAATACATAGACGCTGATGACGTCATAACCTTTTGTCTTTATCTCATGAATAAAATGCGGTCAAATCTCTTTAAAGGGTTAAAAATAGCACACGACCTTATCTTAGAGCCAGTTTACATCGAGTTGGAGGACCCTAGGTAGGTGAGGTAACCCGCTGCTGGTCACCCCAGCTATTACGTAAACGTGGTCAAATTAAAATGAGACGTTATGTGGACAGGCGGGTTACCCCACTTTTGCGGGTTACCTCACCTACCTGGGGTCCCCCACCTCCATGTATACAGGACCTAAGATAAGGTCGTGTGCTATTTTTAACCCTTTGGACAGGTTTTCCAGTTATTTCTTGGTAGATGAAGGTCTTGCTTTTTTATTAGTTGACGACTACATGTAAGAACTAGGAAAAGTATTCATTGGTTGATTCAGGTTGTCGAAGGAATAAGCGCTAACTCGCCTGTGACGTAGTTATGCAAGTTACATTTCATACCGCTTTCATTGTTCAATAAGTTGTTCCGGTTTACTATGCGCGCAAATCGTTAATCTTTCATGAGTACGAAGCCACACTAGCCCTTTCTAACACGAAAAACATTTTTCCACTTTCCCACATCCCTTTTTCCTTTTCCACATTTCCTTGTTTCACATTGTTTCCTTCCGCCACGACAACCACATTTCTATTGTTTTCTCTCAGCGCGAGGTTATGGTGAACGTTGTAAAGAAAAGAAAACTTAACTTCCTAAATCTTCTAACGTGATTGGAAAGAATTGTGTGACGAACCAAACGGAAAGGCTGCTTAGAAGGCTATCCTCTTTACTTTTATTTACACAGTAGTACTTGCTAGGCAGACTACGTAACTTTTTCTTTATATGCGTCCCCACACAAAAACGGAAAACTCTAGATCTTTTTCTTTGTTTGTTACTTAAAATGTTAAATAAAATAACCAATAATTTACAAGTGCATTAATTAACTGGCTCAAAATTCTCCCAAGATATCACTATTTTAAGAAGGCTTTGTTATTGTCCTTCACCTTATTCCGTCTTAGGTTCCTAAGGTTGCCAAGCACTGGAAGGAAGTTAAAGAAAGCGGTGTTCTCTCCATGGAACTGGTTGATCTTGTGTTTTCCAACTTTCTCCTGGAAGGTGTTGCCAGGAAAGACATTCTTGATTTGATGGAACAATTTGGATTGATTGCAAAATTTTCATCTTCAAAGACAGGTGAAAAGTATTTTGTTCCATCTCATCTCAAAGCGTCACCTGATTCCCTTTGTTCCATGACGCCCACAAGGCTGGACCCATGTCCCCTGTATGTTTACTTTGTCAGCGGTTCTGTTCCCCATGGTCTGTTCACTCGGCTTGTTTCTCGATCTGTCCGTTGGTGTTCTGAAGCTGGTCCAACTCAGCCCCCTACCCTGTTCCAAAATGGAGCGTGGTTTGTTATTGGGAAGCAAAATTTCCATGATTTTGTTCTTATTTGTAAGAAGCAGTTTATTAAGTTTTTTATCAAGCAAAGAAACCAACCTCAGCAGATCTCAGTAGATGACACAAGTGAGGTGGCGGTGCAGGTTCGTGAGTTTGTGGAGGCAACTTTGCAAGTTTTGTCACGTGATCTCTATAAAGGTGGATTGCAGTATCATATTCGGGTCGCCTGTCCGTATTGTCAGCGGGAAAAATGCTCAAGCCATGATGAGATTGCATGTTCTCATGAAAATTGTCTTCACCTCCTTGAGTTACGACAAGGCGATCCTCTGATTTGCAAGAAGAAACCTACAGAGGAGGTACTCACAGTTACGGGACAGCAAAAGTGGTTCTCACAAATAGAAAGTAAGGTAGGTAGTAGTGAAATTCAATCTCTAGCAGTGCTGTTAGCATGTTTCAGATCAATCGAATACACATACTACTTAAAATTGTGTTTTTAAGGAGTAGCCACTGTAGCCATATATTTAAACTAAAGAGGCTTCAATAAAGTCTATGGATGTGCTTTGTTATAAGATTATAGTATGACGTTTAACGTATGCCTTTATTTATCCTACCACGAGCTCCACTGGAGTGTAAGAGAAGGCCTTATTGCTATCAACTTAGCGAACATTGGTGCTTGAAATCAAGTAAGTTGATAAGGTCAATTGGCTACCATGTATTAATAATTGTTATTGGCGTATAGGCATAGCAGTTGGTATATAACTTTTTTTCAAGGTCTTTGTAAATGTGATGTTTTGCTTTGCGGGTGGGCAATAAGTTTGTAGCGTCTACCGTGTTGATAACATGTTTTGCAAACTTTCATTCAAAAAGCCCCTAGATATTAAATTTCTATTTTAAAGTATCCAATTTTGGTTCCCATGCAGGAAGCGTGTTCTCCATCATTATCACCTGATACTGCACAGGTTCGTCCAGAGCGTCTGGTACTGAAAGTTACCCTTCTAGCGAATGAGTGGGGCTCGTCCAAGGGTGGCTTGTCAACAATAAACAGGACTCTTGCCATACATTTGGCAAAAGACGAAAACGTAGAAGTGACCATTCTTGTACCTGAATTTGAGTGTGGAGAAAAAGACAAGAGAGTTGCCAAAAGTCACAACATTTCCATCAGGGAAGCAGGGCATCTACCTGGCTTTAGTGATCCTCTTGACTGGTTGAGCTATCCACCAGAAGACCTTGACATTCAGGTTGTGATCGGCCATGGAGCAAAGCTTGGTAGACAAGCACAGATTATCAGAAAGTCTCATCGATGCAAGTGGGTGCAGGTTGTTCACACTGAGCCTGAAGAGCTGGCAATGCATAAGAACTATCCAAGCGCTATTGCCAAGGGAGAAGGGAAGAACAGAGCTGAAGTTGAACTTCGTCAAATTGCAGATCTCGTTGTAGCCGTTGGACCCAAGTTGAAAGAAGCGATCTCGTCCCAGTTGCGTTCATCTCGTCGAGAAATCTTTCAATTAGTACCAGGTTCCTTTACAGAGTTTTCAGATGTTGAGCATTCTGAACAAGAGAATGTAAATTTCAAAGTGTTAACCTTCGGTCGCGGTGATTTCGAAGACTTCAGTCTTAAAGGATACGACATTGCCGCTCAATCCATAGTTGAATGTGAAGGACAGCTCCTATAGTCTTGTTTTCGTTGGTGCATCCGATGGAAGGCAGGATGACGTCGCAGAAATCTTACTCCTGACTGGCATTTCAAAGAACCAGCTGATTGTGAGATCATTTGTGAAAGACAAACAAAGATTGAGAGAGTTGTTTTGTGAAGTCGATCTGGCCATCATGCCATCAAGAACTGAGGGGTTTGGTTTGACAGCATTGGAAGCCATGTCAGCCAGTCTTCCCATTCTGGTAAGTGGAAACTCCGGATTTGGAAAAGCACTGCGGGTCTTCCAATGGGTGAGTCATTTGTGATCGACTCTGATGACCCCAAGGAATGGGCCAAGGCAATTGCAGCCATCCGTCAAAAATCAAGGACACAGCGGCTTGAGGAAATCCAAAGACTGCGAAGAAGTTATGATGAAAGATTCTCTTGGGAGAGACAGTGCCAGGCCCTTGTTGACAGGATGTGGAGGATGGTCTATGGTAAGAAATCAAATTTACCGATAGGAAAGTAACGATAATAATAATTAGTACCTGATGATTTTCAAATGCGTATCTTTTCAGTATTATCCTCCATTTGGCCTTCATAATTTATCGCTGTATGTCCATTGCTTCTGCAATAGCGATTGCATGAATACATTTTTACTATGTTATGTTTCGTGGTCCATGTGCATCCCAGCACAAATATTTTTAAAAGTAGGTTGAGTTTGATCGTCCGGGTGAACGTAGTCCTGAATAGGACTGTTGTTGGTGACAGTGACTGACGTTTCGACAACCTGTGCGGTAGTCATCTTCAGAGTCAAAGTGAGTTGTATCACGTCAGTTGACGGTATTATACCCTGGTTATTGATCTGATTGGTCAATTACGTCGCGATGTTATTGGTCGTCTGTCGGTTAAGCAGTGATGTTGTTGGCTATGAAGACTCGTAATCAGTAATTGGTGCGTTTCGATCCGTCTATTGTCACAGTTAAACAGTCGTCTATTGTTAGTCAAATTGTCATTCTCTCGTAGTTAGTTTTGCTTGATCTCGTCAATAAGTCGTTTGTACGGCGCTGGTAACTGTTGGCTACGATTCAGTGGCGTTTGTTCTAAGTTCTACGTTCACCCGGACGATCAAACTCAACCTACTTTTGAAATGACTCCTTGGTTCAAACCTTTCACAGTTTTACAAATATTTTTGTTTAACTTTTATCCTTAATATTGGGATTCACATTCTCCACACTGTTCTTCATACATTCCTTGGGTTACTGATGAGGAGATTTTGTTTAACAATCAAGATATCTTTTTACCGGCTGATCAATTCCATTTTTTAAAACTTTCACGTATAAATTTATAACATATTGGCTACAACTGAAAGAGTTAACGATAAATTAAAATTTTAACTCTATAAGATTGCGATACATCAAAGTCATCTGATTTCTATTCATATCCAGCAGCAATAGTGGGTTGTCACAAGAAATGAAGGTTGGAATCGTTCATTTGTTTTAAAGAGTGACATAGTTTTCTGTAAATCATCAATTTTTTCAACTTTACAGGTCTTGAAAAAACCAAAGAAGATGACGTTCCACAGAACGACTGTGACAAAGATGCTGCAACAGGACCGATAGCAGGTCATTTCATTGTTTGCTTTGTCAATTAAACCAAAGACAATTTATTTTTGCGGTAGAGTGAGGTTATTTTCTTCTGTTAAACCAGGGTACTTTCGATTTTTCGGGTGGTTTTAGCTTTTCAATGCTTAGTGTAGCATCTCCAAGTAAACTGACGTAAATAATGTTTCCCTCTCCCGCTTACAGGCCAAACCATTTAAATTTACTGCCAATTTTAATTTTTTGCAGGTGTTGAAAAAAACCGAGAAGATGACGTTCTAAGGAATGACTTTGAGAAAGATTCTGCATTAGGACCGATGGCAGGTGATGTCATTGTTTGCTTTGCCAATTAAACCAAAGCCAAAATATATTTTTGCAGTAGAGTGAAGTTACTTTGTTCTTTTAAAACCACAGTAATTTTTCTGAAATTGTCGACTGTTTTAAGCTTCAGACCAGCGCACAGTGCTGCACCTGTTTTATGGAACTCGCTGCCATTGACTATAAGAACAAATAGCAGCCTCGCCATTTTTAAAAAGCATCTTAAAACATTCCTTTTTAGGAAAGCTTATAATCTACTAGAATGACTCTGAAGTTTAATGCTTTGAATATTTTCATTTAGTTTTGTATAGAATTTTAGACTTTTATTTTTTAGATTTTTGCATAGCATGGAATTTTTTTATTATTGTTATTGTTATTATTAGCTTTTCAGGAATTTTTTTAATTGTAACTTAATGTTAAGCGCTTTTGAATATTTTATAGTTGTAGCACTATACAAATTCTTTATCATCATCATTATCACTATCTCCTATTAAACTGGCGTGAAATAACCTCTTCATGTATCTTATTTTGTGTTTTTCATCTTCCGCTTACAGGTGAACCCATTTTCCTTGCACTTCAACAAATCCTGTTGGAAGCACGCATAGAGTCCAGCAAAACTGAGCTGTCGCATGCTTTAAAGACGACTGCGTTGGAGAAAGGTTTTGCGATTTCTGACAATTAAGGGGAGGGGAACTGCATGTTTTTTGCACTTTCAGAACAGCTTGACCTCATCAAAGGAATTCAAATGTCCCATGATGAGTTACGCCGAACTATTGTTCAACATCTTCGGGAAAACCCTAGGCTGGTAAGTACCTTATTATTTTTGCTTGGGTGGATTTATTTGCAATCTATGCGTAATCCGTCGCATTGGCACGCTGAATTTTTTTTTTATTGTTTTTTAAGGTTAAAAGCAATGAGGTCTTATTCTGACGTATCCGAAATACGCTTTCACACGTAGCGTATTTGAATTTTTTGCGCTACGATAACATCCCTTACAGAGCAAAGGCAGTACTACTAACACATAATGTATCACATCATTGTATTAGAAAACCTCTGTTTCTTCCGTCCACACGTAAAAGAGAATTCGGCGTGTTCAAAAGTCCACTCTGGGGACCGCTTTCTGGGGACCTGTTTTTTTGGTGGCCCAAAAGGCCGTTTTCGTGTGAACGGAAGGCTAAAAATACCCTGATACGTGTGGACGGGGCCTTAAATTCTTGCAGCCAAATGCTACGGCTTTACGGGTATGATGCAAATGAATCCACCCTTTATGAGCAAAACATCCGCTCTGCATGAGCATCACGCTTATTTGTATTTTGCTTCGTCTTCCGCTGCACGATTTGAAACTTCCTAATGCGACGTTTTGTGGAGGGCCTCGAAAGCGTGGTGACGAAATATTGTTATTGGATCCGATGCTGCCCTTAGAATTCAAATCCAGGAAATTTCTTCTAGTTTTTTTAATTTGAAAAACGTTACATAAGCGCCATAAAGGTTTAAAATAAAGCAAGTTCATTTCCTTTAATCACGTTTTTGACTCGGAGGCGTAAATGAAAACAGATTTTAGGAAATCTGTTTCTGTCGCCATGATCGTCTGACTCATGTCCTAATTTTTTATAAGTACTATGTCATTTTGGTAAGTATGAAATGTTCACCAAAAGCTGCTTTGTTCGAACAGCACATGTCTACTTAGCAAAATGAAGTGAATACTTTATTTAAAGAGGGTAAGACTCGACAAGTATAGTATGAACGGATAAACTTGAGACCCTCAATACTTGTTATATTTGTAGGGTCATTTCTGACCCAACATACTGGACGAAATTTCCAAACTTTTATTTTTTCAGATAAATTTTAGCGATAAAAAATCACGACGTTTCGACCTTGTACGAGCAAGTGGACGGTGTAGCTATGGGCTCGCCACTAGGTCCCCTAATGGCAAACGCCTTCATGTGCAAAATCGAGAAACAGCTGGAAACAGAGAACAAGTTGCCTACCTTCTACAAACGCTATGCAGATGATACACTTAGCGCAATGCCGGATCTGACAGCAGCCTCAGAATTCCTGACGACATTAAACGAGAGTCATTCCTCTATCAATTTTACAATGGAGCTCGAAGAAAATGGCAAGCTTCCCTTTCTCGGAATGAATGTTATCAGGAATGGTTGCCGCCTAGACACCACGGTTTACAGAAAACCAACGGACACTGGACTTCTGCTACACTACCACAGTCACGTTGACGCCAGATACAAACGGTCACTCCTGAACACCATGCTTAACCGTGCGTTTAAACTCTCGTCTACGTGGAAGTTTTTTCACGAGGAATGTGAACGCCTTAAAGAGATCTTCTCCCGACTGCGCTATCCAGACGACCTTGTGCAGTCAACCATTCGCCAATTCATTGAATCCAAAGTGTCCGAGGATTCACACACCCAAGTGGCTGATAAAAGAGAAGCCCCAATCAGAATCGTGTTGCCCTTCAAAGACCAGAAATCAGCAAACGTAGTACGTAAACAGCTGGCTGACCTGAGTAGGAAGATCAACGCAGACATCAGCCCAGTTTACACAAGTAGGAAGATCAAAGATGAAAGTAAGGTCAAGGAAGACAAGCCGCCTCTTGTGAGTCAACAATGCGTGGTGTAGTCTTTCCAGTGTAGCCTGTGTGATGCAGGCTATGTCGGCTACACGTGCCGACACCTACACCAACGAATTGAAGAACACAAAGGATCGGCAATCGGAAACCACCTCAGAGAGCAGCATGATATGGAGCCTGAAGACATCGCACAAAGTTTTAGAATCTTAAGAAAGTGTCAGAACAAATTTGACTGCCTTATTTTTGAAATGTTTTTTATCCAAGAACTGAAACCGACGCTTAACAAACAGTGCGATTCAATTCGCGCCAAATTATTTGTTTAGAGTAGTTCTTGTTAACATTGTTTTATTTCCATTGTTTTTTGACTTTATAAATATTTTTAGCACTTTTTTTACATTTTTACATATTTTATCACATTTTAGCGTTCACCACATTTTTATCTATTATAACTTGTTTTTAACTTATTTATGCTAATTTAGAGAACTTTTATACACTTGAAAATGACCTCGGAGAGGTCGAAACGTCGTGATTTTTTAT